GCTATGGCTGGCCCTTAGTAGCTTGCTAAAAAGATTCGCTCTGCAACTCTCTTTTCACAAAACATTGGCTAATGTATCTTTTTTATCACGGATTTTCCTTTAATCCATTATTTTTGCCATTTCAGAGATGACCATGCGTTTTCGCTCCTTCATTGGGCCGCCAAGGAGGGTCACGTCTCGATCGCTGAGATGCTTCTGTCGAGGGGAGCTCGGGTAAATGCCACCAACATGGGCGATGACACAAGCCTTCATCTGGCCGCGGCTCACGGCCATCGACCGATTGTTGTGGTAAGCGATGACATTTCCATCTCATTCAAATTAGTTCCGCAACTTCGTGTTGTATTGTCGCAATTTTCATTGGTATTCAATCATTAATCAGCTATCTTTCAAGTATTTTATTATCAACAACATATATCTGTTCCGAAAACTTTTTGGGGTGTCAGGGAACGCCAAATATGGAACAAATCGGTTTCCATGACTCAATTTACTGAAGAAAGAACTGAAGGAAAAGAATGATTTGCTACCTGAGTTACTACTCATATCACGAGCTGGGGTGGGTGTGGCTGCGTACCTCATTTGAACGTGGCTGTTGTCGCACGCTGTGATATTGCCGTTTTGAGAACAATTGTAACCATGTTTTTGTCTAGCACATGACAGCATGATAGTTGTCCTGAATGAAATTTTTCCACGAAAAATCCGAATAAAATAATCCCACGCCATGTCCGTATGAGGTACGCGGCCACGCCCTCCACAGTTGTTGGATATGGAGTGTATGTCAGAAGGGTTCGACTCCCTTTTGCTTTTCACGACTTCGCTCTACATAGTCGCTCTGACATTGATTTGTAAGAAAGGTCACTTTTACGCACATTGAATTTGAAGAAAGGTCACTTTTACGCGATCATTTCAGCTTAAACCGGACACATTTGGGACTGTCCTTTTTTACTTATTCTACAAGCCATGTAATTCCTTTATATGCCTTCCACTATGAAAACCACAAACCCTGGAAAAGTCTGTAGGTTAAGCTGGAAAAATCAGGAGGGTTTTTGTTTACTCTATACGTCATTTTCGTTTTTTTTCTTACTCGAGTGACTAGGGTAGACATATGAGTTGTCCCCCAAATTCCCAATGTCCCCCAAAAGATATGAGTTGTCCCCCAAAATCCCCAATTTCCCCTATCAGTACGCACCCCTTAGGGAGTTTTGTACGACTCCCCTGGTTCTTCCTCATTCGCTGCTTGTTGTAGAGCGGGTGAAGAAAAAATTCGAGATAAAAATCGACCCCCCTTCACCTTGATAGAACTAGAAATCAGACCCCTCCCGCCTCCTTACCATTTCTTAAATTTTCCACCTTATTTTCCGGAATTTCCCTAAAATTTTCCTACGTTTACCTAAAAAATTTATTGCCGGGGGGAGGGGGGTACAGAAAAACCGCAGAAAAACCACGAAAGGTCAATAATTTCTTTCAGGAGGCCAGAAGGAAAATACGACCCCCCCCCCTTCTCCCCTCTACAAAGTCCCTGAAACAAGAAAAATCAACGTCAATCTATCAAAAAATTTTCCCCAGCCCGAATACGACTCCCCTCTCCCAGCGACCAGATACGCCCAGCTCCCTCTTGGGGAATCAACGAAAACGATGTGCCTTGACTAGGTCTGCACTCCATCTTGGATGATGAGGTGGAGGGTTGCCTGGACCCTAATTCCCCTTATGGTGAGAAACTTGGTGGCATCTGTGAGTGGTCGTCCGTATCTAGGCGAAATTTTTGAAAATGCCCAGAGCTTTTGTGTGGGGGTCAGAGCTGCATGGAGAATCCCGAACACCCCGAACTTATCGATTATCGGTTGTTGAACCGCAGCTATTGCGTTGCAGTGGAAAGCTGTAATCTCAGCGAAAAATCTCGGGATGTCGCATATCTTTTACAGCTCGCCTCGAGGGTGTTGGCGTGCTCATACCCACATAACACGAGATTAAATCCAAGTAAATAATGGATATTCAGACTGAATCAAAGTCGCACCAATTCCTTATCTTTGCAGTGTCCTAAACGGATTAAAGGCGGTCGATTTAAAGCCTTTTACTAACTGTTTTCCGAAGAGCAGGATGGTCACGGCACATCGTTGTTGGGGAATCCCCAATAGGGGGTCGTATTTGGCCGCCAGGAGAGGGGGGGGAAAATTTATTTTGATAGTTGATTTTTCTCGCTTCACGGACGTTGTAAAGGGGGATCGTACTTGGTCATTTTTGGGAGGGGGAGGTCGTATTTACGTTTTGGCGTTGTAGAAAGTGACCGATACACACTCGTGGTTTTCCTGTTTCTTGCGTACTATATTCACTCCCCCCCCCCTCTCCCCCCACTTCACCCGGCGGCAGATTTTGGGAAAACTAGGAACTTTCGAACTTTTGGCGAAAAAGTGGCGGAATTGTGGGAAAAGGCTTGAAATGTAGAGGAGGTAGGGGGTGTAGGTATTGTCCTCGCGACTCCCTGTTTCAGCATGTGCTATTCCACCCCCCCCCCTTCGATGAGGAGGGATAGAGGGCCGGAGGGGGGGGGGGGGTCGCACAGACTCGACTATAATCCCAACCAATGATATGCCCTGAGGATGGCTGCAGTCACTGCGATCAGACCTGCACAATGCACCGCTACGTGTATGGCTCTTTACGCGTTCGAGAGTAGTTTGAATATATAGCTACGGAAAAAAAAAACTTGGAACAGTAAAAAAAAATCGTTCAATTCCCTGCCAAATAATAACTTGGTTTTCCTTGAATAGTGCACCGAATTATTTTGGATACAGATAAAATATGCCTGGAAGAACTGTTCTAAGTCATTAAAAAGACCCTAAGCAAACACAGAAGTACGTGAAATCTAGGTTCCGGCACCCAAGGCCAGCATCCGGATGACAAAATGACCGAGTAAAAGCCTTCACTCAACCCATCAGGCATCTTTAAGATGACTTGAAGCATGAGCCAAAAGGATGAAGACCACCAACACGAATGAACAGTCCTATGCATTTTGAGGAATTTAGAGGCGAATATCTGTGGATACCCCAGAAGCTCCTATGAGTCGATTCCAACGGGTGAAGAAGGCTCTAATCAAGTCCAGTAGTAAGCAAGCCAAATTAGAAGCGCTGAATAGCTTTTTCCTGTTGAATTCTCGCTATCTTCTCACCTTTCCACCAAACTGCTGTTGAATAAAAGCTGCAGAAGTGTTTAGAACGCGATTTTTTGGCTTGTTCCGAGTTTTTTTTCCGCAGCTGTAATTGACTTACTTGCCTTTATTGGTACTGGGGATTTCCGTTCATTTCAAGTCTGGAGAAACCCCTTACTCGAATATTGGTGTTATCTAGTGGGTGCCGCTCTCATACGTCGTACGCTGAGGAATTCCCATCGAGGGGTGGGGTGGTATGCGGTCGCGGAATGTAGGGGAAGGGGTTGGATAAGGCTTTAGGATTTTCTGCGGTTTTTGATCTTTCGAGAATGTTTTCCGTTTCACATGTGCTATATCTCCTAGTCGGTAGCGCAGAAAAGTTCTGTACATGTACTATCTTCGCTAGGTGAAGTTTGAACCAGGGCACATCATAGTTGGGGATTCCCCAAGAAGGGGGGAGGTCGTACTCGCTGTTTCATATGTACTAT